TTTTTTTTACGTTTATAGTTCCAGCCATTTTTTTGTAGCACATAATCATCAACTAAGCTTCTTATCTCTTATCTCTTGCCGTTTCGCCTTTTTTCGACATCTTAATCTTATTTCTAAAGCTATGATCTGTGTGTAATATCATTGAGATTCTTTGATAACAATGTCATTTTCAAGGAAATGCCGAAAACATCCATATTCAAGACTCGGGTTGGTACCGAGTTGCTTATGGGTAAGGTAGTCAAACTGAGTAATATTGGTATCAACCGTATTCCTTGTGCGCAGGTAAGGAGCTGTGATCGGGGAGCTATCATTTGATGAAATATTTCGTTTTAGGTTCGATGCAGTATGAATGAATTCAACATCTATTTGAAGAAATATTTTGCTCACTCATTTGAGTTTTGGGCTCTGGATAAGTAAGCTTTTGTGGTATTTGGCTTCCTTTTGTTCCACGCAGCTGGTTTTTATATATCGTGTTCATAGGCAATCGAAGGGAAATCTTGGCGATATGGTTTTGATTCGACGAATTGGAGTAGATGAAAGGCCAACCACAAATGTAGCTCATGCAATTGATCGTGTAGTATTCAAGTACGGTAAGTCATTTTTTGAGATATCTGACCTTTCAAATACCATCTATTATAGCTATACCTTTTTTCTTGCTTTGAATTACACTTACTTAACTTTTTATCCTTTTACAATTAGAATAATCGGTACACCCAATTGAGTATATCAAATGAAGATACTACAATCTAGGTGTCGAGCAAAACTGTTGACTGCTCTTTTAATATAAGAGCTAGTGGTATCTGTTTTTAGGTAATATCATTGATCCCGTCACTGGGAAACGAGTTATCAAGGATGAATTTTCCGATGAGATCGAATTGCGCAAGAAACTTGTTGGAGAGATCATTGATGCTCCATTCGAACAGGTTGGTGGTTTCGGTTTTAAACCTTAGTCTTCTTTTCCACGACTCTTCAAGCTTCGTTAATCAAATATTCTCCAGGACGCCTTATTATTCGACGAAAGACGAGCAATTCAACGGCAAATTCTCGAAGAGAAAAAAGCTAGCCTTGAAGAAGAAGAAGAAAAAGTTAATGTGTAGATGATTTTACCGGATCTCTTAGCTAACTTCTAGATTGATTTTGCTGCCAGTCTTGTACTGTTGGCTCTATTAGGAATTTGTACAGATTTGTTATTTGTTGATTTTGAAAATACACAATATTAATTTTTTTCATTTAATTTGATATGGGACTGATCATCCTCCTATTTTTGGTTACGAAAATTGCTAACGTTTTCAAAACTTCGCTCAGTCCATTTTTACATAAGAATGGAGCCGGAGGATTTGTCAAAGGCTCGATTTGTAAAAGTGCACAGCTATCTTGAGGAGCGAGCAGCACAAGTTGCCGATCTGCTACAGGTTTCTTTCCTTTGATGCTCTATATGCTTGAAAATTTTTTAAAAAAATATTGTTTAGGTAGTAGACAACTCTAATCTCATTTCCGGCGAAGTCACAAAGGGTCCAAGGACTGCTGCACAACGACTACCACGTCATATGAGAAGGTGTGTTAGCAGTTTTGCTCCTTGAGAGGATTGGGCCCTTTCGTTTGGCAACATACTTCTTTGCTAGTGCAAAATTCCTAGGTATTCATAACCTTAACGTTATATATGTACTTACTTCGACCTTTGTTAACAATCGATGTACATTTCCTAAATTGTTGCCTTCTGATGCTCAATCCTTTCGTGTTTTCCCAAAAACATTGTAGTCGAACAATTTTCACATATTTCTTGCATATATCGTGTTTTATATCCGCAGTTTCTGACATATTTTTTTGTTTCCTTAGCTTGCTTCGTCAAAGCGTTAT